CAGGGGATACTCTACATCTGCTCCACCAGGCCCCTACACATTATATCCTCTACTGACAAAACTGGTAAGGACTCCTCAGTTTGTTCCTTAGTATAGATTGTTTAAAACAGGTCATCATTTTAATCTACCGGAAATAAAAATCTAGATGCACTAACATCCTTCACTTGCTCCTTGGATCCTGCTAATAGCATAATACACTTTCACAGGAAGGTTTATTCCAAGAACTTGAACACCATTTATATTACATTTGCCGCATTCCTTTTTTAGTATGACAGAATAATCAGGAGACTCATTCAAAGTGTGTCTGTATAAGCAGATGGGAAAACACATGTTGGATGAGATAGCAGCAGAATGAGCACCAACAACTGTACACAGAGGATAAACAGAGATCAGCACACTAGCTTCATTTTGCAATGTATACAAAAAATGTGGTTTACCTCTACCAGCAAGGATTTGTACATCGAAGAAGAGGCTGCCCTCACCATTGCAACAATTTTCCTGGTATCTACATTTCCGCTTTCTACATTGTTCATGATAAGAGGGTACAGAGGAGAATTGTGTTACCATCTGATGAAGTAGCATGGCCAAGATAAGCAAAAATAAACTCCACTGCAGGCCATGGGAAGCACATACAGTATAGCTCCCAGCTCTTCTAAATTGTGTGGATGAACAAAGCAGGGTCCCTGGTAAAGTTGGCACTGGAATGGGAGTCACTTGAGGCATTGGAAAAGGCATCCAATGCCTCCATAGCCTGCCTATTTGTTCTTCCCTGGCTGCTGCCCAAAGGTCAGGAAGGACCAGATGCCATGCACCTCCCCTGGACAAACGCCCACCAGCATTGAAGATGATCCATCCTCAGGAGAGGGCCAGGCGCTTTCCCCACTCTCACCCACAAGCTGGGAGAACAGGCAAACATGCACAGCCAGAATCACAACCAAGAGCCAAGAAAACTCTAGGGGGCAACATCTGGACAAAATAGAATTGGATGCCCTCAGGTCTGGGGGAGGCATCTATTTAGGTAAACAGATGCCAACTATATTACTGATCCAAAAAACAAAACAAACATGACTGTAGGTCAGAAACAAAGTGAAATTGAAGATGAGGTGGATAGGAACTATTTTTTTAGCTTGTGTTTCCTGTTGAAGGAGGAGCCAATCATCTCTCGGATAGCTGTCCTGAAAGATGATTGGAAAAACATTAGTTAATATACTTTACCCCCAGCTTCTGCCCATGGCGGTAGGTGAGGGCAACATTACCATCATTCTCATTCCAGAAGATCTTGCAAGAAAGCACTCCTGCACTGTACTGCATTCCCCAAAATATCATTGGGTGGATGTGCCACCTATTGCAGTACAGAAGGCAGTGGCAAGGTGTTACACTATTTGCCTTATAAAGATCAGGGAATGTAAAACCAGTTTGATGCAAAAGGAGGTCAAGTGCACCCGTGATTATATGAAGATGCATTTCTAGACATAGATAAATTGCACCCAGGGGCGTGTAGGCAGGTTGCCTACTGTAAGTGAGTTAGCATGGCTGCCGGGGGAGGTAAGTGGTAATGCCTTTGCCGCCATTCCTGATCTGAATTTGCAGGCTTTTTGGGTCATACCCACCTGTCCTGTGTGATTATAAGAGGGACAGGGGTCTGGATCCTGGGGGGGCTTCACTTAGCCTAAGAGAACCGCCAGTGAGGACTGCTGGGACCTGCAGTTCTCCCTGAAGACACCATCAGCATGGATATCCCCATTATAGACTTTGCCAGTGATGGACTCTTATCCTGTACAGGTATGCTGGGGTGGCCACAATTACAGGTAGGTACAGTTTGTAAAAGATTGTTTTCTATGAAACTGTTGCAGTGCATTTTTGCAGTAAAGCGTAGAAAGGTTATTCTGCTTTGTCTGAAATTATTCAAAGGGTTGTATGAAAGTAACCCGCATATTACACATAGCCTTCTACAGTTTAGGTCAGTTAAAGCACATTGGGGTATGAAGACAGCTCTGCAAGAGTTAACATGGTGCAGAGTTAAAACAAGCAGTTGCTATGAGTAACAGAAGTCTAGTAACCAATACTAGCAGCCTGTTGTGAAGCATGGTACCAGTGTCAGGTGAGGCATCATGGGGAAGAAAGGGGATTTAAGTGAACATGGCATGGTTGTCAGTGTCATACTGGCTGGTCTGATTATTTCAAAAACTGCTCATCTACTAGGATTTTCATGCATAACCATCTCTAGGGTTTACAGAGATTGGTCTGAAAATTAGAAAATATCCAGTAAGCGGCAGTTGTGTGGATGAAAATGCTTTGTTGAGGTCATAGGAGAATGGGCAGACTGGTTGCTGCGACATTCAGATGGTATGGTCAGAATTTGGCGTAAGCAACATGAAAGCATGGATCCATCCTGCCTTGTAGCAAGAGTTCAGGCTGGTGGTGGTGGTGTAATGGTGTGGGGGATATTTTCTTGGCAGTAGCATGCTGTACATAATAAAGTGGCTGCTGAGTGTAAATAAACAATGTGTGTAATGTGTGTAAAGTGTGCTGCTTTTTACTACAGATTGATTTGTTTCTTTTCCCTGCTAGTAGGTCTATGTGCCAGAGTCACTATAGCAGGTCTCCGTGCCGCAGTCACTATAGCAGGCCTACGTGCCGGAGTCACTATAGCAGGCCTACGTGCCGGAGTCACTATAGCAGGCCTACGTGCCGGAGTCACTATAGCAGGTCTCCGTGCCAGGGTCACTATAGCAGGCCTACGTGCCGGAGTCACTATAGCAGGTCTACGTGCCGGAGTCACTATAGCAGGTCTACGTGCCGGAGTCACTATAGCAGGCCTACGTGCCGGAGCCACCATAGCAGGTCTACGTGCCGGAGCCACCGTAGCAGGCCTACGTGCCGGAGCCACCGTAGCAGGCCTACGTGCCGGAGCCACCGTAGCAGGCCTACGTGCCGGAGCCACCGTAGCAGGTCTACGTGCCGGAGCCACCGTAGCAGGTCTACGTGCCGGAGCCACCGTAGCAGGTCTACGTGCCGGAGCCACCGTAGCAGGTCTACGTGCCGGAGCCACCGTAGCAGGTCTGCGTGCAGCTGTTACTAAAGCAGGTCTGCGTGCCGCTGTTTACTATAGCAGGTCTGCGTGCCGCTGTTACTATAGCAGGTCTGCGTGCCGCTGTTACTATAGCAGTTTTACATTCCAGTGTTACTATAGCAGGTCTGCGTGCCGCTGTTACTACAGCAGGTCTGCGTGCCGCTGTTACTACAGCAGGTCTGCGTGCCGCTGTTACTATAGCAGTTTTACGTGCCACTGTTACTATAGCAGGTTTACGTGCCACTGTTACTATAGCAGTTTTACGTGCCACTGTTACTATAGCAGTTTTACGTACGTGTTACTATAGCAGTTTTACTGTTACTATAGCAGCAGTTTTTAGCACGTGCCGCTGTTACTATAGCAGTTTTACGTGCCGCTGTTACTATAGCAGTTTTACGTGCCGCTGTTACTATAGCAGTTTTACGTGTCGGTTACTATAGCAGTTTTACGTGCCGCTGTATAGCAGGTCTACGTGCCGGAGTTACTATAGCAGTTTTATGTGTCGCTGTTACTATAGCAGGTCAACGTGCCACTGTTACTATAGCAGTTTTACATTCCGGTGTTACTATAGCAGGTCTGCGTGCCGCTGTTACTACAGCAGGTCTGCGTGCCGCTGTTACTACAGCAGGTCAACGTGCCGCTGTTACTAGCAGGTCTGCGTGCCGTGTTACATTTACTATAGCAGGTTTACGTGCCGCTGTTACTATAGCAGTTTTACGTGCCACTGTTACTATAGCAGTTTTACGTGTCGGTTACTATAGCAGTTTTACGTGCCGCTGTTACTATAGCAGTTTTACGTGTCGGTTACTATAGCAGTTTTACGTGTCGGTTACTATAGCAGTTTTATGTGCCGCTGTTACTACAGCAGGTCTACGTGCCGGAGTTACTATAGCAGGTCTACGTGCCGGAGTTACTATAGCAGTTTTACGTCGGTTACTATAGCAGGTCTACGTGCCGGAGTTACTATAGCAGGTCTACGTGCCGGAGTTACTATAGCAGTTTTACGTGCCGCTGTACTATAGCAGTTTTACGTGCCGGAGTTACTATAGCAGGTCTACGTGCGGAGTTACTATAGCAGTTTTACGTGTCGGTTACTATACGTGCCGGAGTTTTAGCAGTTTTACGTGCCGCTGTACTATAGCAGTTTTACGTGCCGCTGATACTATAGCAGGTCTACGTGCCGGAGTTACTATAGCAGTTTTATGTGTCGCTGTTAATATAGCAGGTCAACGTGCCACTGTTACTATAGCAGGCTTACGTGTCGGGGTTACTACAGTAGGTCTGTCAGTGTTACTACAGTAATGTGGTCTGACTAGGCCTCATTTCAGCAGAAACTTGTCTCCTAGGGTGCCCGGATCTGTCAGAGTTAATGTTGGGGGTTGGTAAACCGGCCTTAATAACTGTGTGAAAACTCTCCCCTCAGAGTCTGTCAGTAACAACAGACAACTGTCTCCTGACCGCCTGTCATGCGACACTGCTGCCCCACACCAACAGGCAGACACGTGAGAGGAGGTGTAGCCGGATAATAGAAACTCCTCCCGCCATTGTGACAGAGCCACGCCCGGTAGGGGGGGATCACATCTCCCCGCCTGTTTTGTCAGTCTGAGGCGAACAGGAAACGCATCAGCAGGCGGAGAGACCCCGAAGGTCGTTATACCACAACGGGCACCGAGAAAACCGCCACTTCTAACTGCCCATAGCGTCCCGGAGAGAGCAGAACATTTCCTGTCAGTCTATAGTTCCTCCCCGGGGCGGAGCCCATCATAGCTTAGACCGGAGCGGGGCGGGCCTTCTCTCGGTAGGCGGCCTCCTTGTGACGTAGTAGATGAACCGGCTGACTCAGGTAGAGAAGGAGGCGGTTTGATTTGCGAGTGTTCCGGCTTCCTGCTTGCTGTGTCGGTAGTCCGTCCTCCTGTCACCGTAGAAGATGTCGGGATTTCAGTTTAATCTCACCGCGCTGAAGGAGCCCCTGGGGTTCATCAAAGTGCTGGAGTGGGTGAGTTATGAGGAGAGTCGGGCCTTTGCGGGGGCAGGGAGGCGTCAGCGAGCACCTGAGGTGACCCGTGATGAGGAGGGGGGGGGGAAGTCGGGCCGCTCATCTTGGACACGTGTGAGTGCGGGCGGTGACAGTCCGTGTGTATTCCCTCGGTGTCCGCCCAGACAGCCTGTTTTACCGAACACACTGCCCGCCGACTCGTCAGCTCCAGCCCGCCAAGAATCCTCTCAGCATTGCTGCATGTGAGGGAAGCGGCCTCTGCATACAGAGGGGCGATCCCTGGGATTCTTGTCATGGCTGGGCGCTGGCTGCTCCTTATTTGCCAAGTCTGGGTGGAGCCGCTGTCACGAGGAAGGCTTGTCCGACTGACATGCTGCTCTTCACAGCTGTGTGATAATGAAAGTGGGTGGAATTCCTCAGCGATCGCGGGGTCAGCACCGGCCGACCATGCTAGGAATGGGGGCGACTGAGCTAAGTGGTCTGCCTGGATATACACCTTAAAGTAGAAGGCTCAGTTCACATAGGCGATTTGGAATCACCGCAATTCTGCCTGTGTTTTAAAATGCGTTGTCATTTCATTGACCAATAAATGCAAGCGATTTTGGCCTGACACATGTCACACTGGAACTCCTTTTGGGCAAAACTCTTTGCACGATTCTTTATAGGTGAAGTTGGAGTGAGAATTGCCACGCATTTAGATGCCAATGAAATGAATGGCACATGAACACGTTGATGTGCGATTTGACATTGTGTTCTGAAATTGCGGGCTATTCTGTCACGATTGTTGCATGACAAATCTTGCTGCTACTGTGCATTAAAAAATAAAAAATTGTGCAAAAAGTGTTGGCTAAAAGAATTTCCAGAACTTATTTTGGGCGACACATGCTGGGCTAGAATCACCCCAACATTTTTGATGCCAATGAAATGAATGGCATATGAACAAGTGTGATTTGACATTTACCAGCGTGTTTTGAAATCGCAGGCAGAATCGTGATGATGCAACGACCCCTAAAAACAGAGGGCTGTTCTGCCATGATTGTTGCGCGGCAAGTCTCGCTTCAACTACACATTAAAAAAAATCGTGAAACGCATGTTGCCCAAAATAAGTTGCAGAACTTCTTTTGGGCGACACGTGTTGGACAATAAGCGCCCCGCTTTTTAGATGGCAGTTCAATAAATGGCATGTGAACATGTGCAATTTGACATTTTAACAGTGTTTTAAAATTGCAGGCAGAATCGTGGCGATTCAATGACACCTAAAAACACAGGGTTATTCTGCCAAGATTGTTGCGCGGTAAAGCTCGCTTCAACTGCGCACAAACAAAAATCATGCCATGCATGTTGCCCAAAAGAAGTTCTGGAACTTATTTTGGGCGACGTGTTGGGCCGGAATCGCCCTGCATTTCTAGATACAAATGAAATGAATGGCACATGAACACACTGATGTGCGATTTGACATTTGAAATCGTGGGCAGAAATGCGGCAATTTAAAACGCCTATATGTGAACAGAGCCTGACTAAAGGCGAAACCTTTTTTTTTAAATATTTGGATAGAATGGAGAGGGATTAGGATACCTGTCAGATTTAATTGCCGTCTCCACCCCTGTTAGGGAGATTCCCTTTCTCTTTGTCTCATTTACCATTATCATCAAAAGTGAAGAGGGGAAATCTTCCAATGGGGGCATTGGTTCTGGTGACCTGAAGGTCTCCAAGGAATTTTTTTTCAATTTGCAGAGGTTTTCTCTCTGCTTTCGCTATGGGACAGAGAGTGAATGGAAATCTCCAATGGGACACAGCAAAAAATAATCTGATGGGTTATAAACCTCCCTTACTCTATCCAAAATTGGGTGGGGGAGGATTTTTAATGCCGAGCAGCCGCACATATACAGCCCTGTTAAATACTACTTGCTGTGCTGAGACTGCACTCCCAGCATGGTAGCCAGCAGTGGTCAGTAAGCTCCCAGGGCATACTTGCAATCACAGCAGTCACATGACCTGAGGGCCCGCCTCTGGCTTTTAGAACCCTTAAAGAGCTGGGAGGAAGTTGGTACCAAAGGGTTAAGGCCTGGTTTACACAGACTTAAGCTTGTAGAAGAGCAGTGTGAACAGCAAGATTTTTTTTTTTTTTTTAGCTTAATGTGTGTGTGTGTATATAAATACTCATAGAAGTGATACAGTGCAAATAATAAAAATGTGAAAAAATATATATTAAAGTTCAACAAAAAAGTTCAAAATTAAAGTCCAATATCCCAAAAATTTGTGAAAAAAAATATTTTATAGAACTAACTCAAATTTCATAAATTTTCCAGCATGCTCACATCTTCAGTGAAAAAAACCTTTGATCCACGTTCACCAAATACTGTGAATTCCCGAGTTAAGACAAAAAAAAACAAGCCTGCAGGTGGGGTGTGGTATCCTCAGAAGTTGTAATAGTCTTTTAAGCAATTTCTCACTGACTCTCCTTCCCAGATATTTCCACATATAGCGATAAAACAAAGGATGCCAATGATATATTACTATATAACGATAAAAAAATATAATAAAGTGCCAAAAAAACCTTCCTATACTCACATAAGGTGGTTAGACACCAAATTTTCATGGAATTACTTGCTTCCCAAATCACAGATGATAATCCATCCTTAACTTCCTCCAAGCTCTCACTCATGGACGGACGGATGGATGGATAGGGGTACTTTTGTGACCAGCTTGTAACTCTCAAGCCTTCGCCAATAATTCTTCCTTCGTTTACCCCGAATTCATTCTCGTGGATGAAAAATGCAAAAGAAATATACCAAAATAGCGTAATAAAAAAAAATTTGAATACTCAAGTGATGCTCCAAATGCACTCACATTTTAAAACTGAATATAAAGCCTTTTTGTAAATAAATCAGGACTCAAACTTGTTCCAATAGCCCTTCTGACAATTCCAGCTAGGCAGACATAATTGATCAGCTTTGGCAATGAAGAACTGGCAAAATTGTGGAATCAGATCTCTTTGCCCACACTAAAGATGGCCACGGAATGCCGCATCAGCGTGCGTTCCACTCACTGGATATGACATCACACGTACAGGGTCGGAACCGGATGTTAAGTCAACGCACTTCACCTTCCCACAAGGCGTCGTCATGGATATATTTTGTATATAAATACTCGCCTTGTAAAACAACTCATGCAGTTTAAAATAGAAACGAAAGACAAAACCTTTTTCTATTGATATAAAAAATTTTAAGAGCAGCCTAAGTTCCCAACAAAGAGAACTGACCACACTTTACTCTCATGCTTAGTTTGGTCAGTTTTTAATAGGACTGCAGAGGGATAGGCAGGAACACCAGGGATTTCACACAAAGGAAGCAATACAAAGAGAACAGGTTACTTTTTCATACAAGTACATGGTACAGCAGGCACATATCAGGAATATGAAATGATGGGTTTATGTACGCTTTAAAATCCTCAAGGCGGGGGTCAGCAATCAGTAGATGGTGATCTGCCAGTAGATCTCGACCAGGTGACTGGTAGATTGCAGTCTTGGATTGCTGACCCTCCATCCCAGAGCATCAAGCAGAGTGCAATGTAGAGGGACTACTTGTAAAGTTGGAGCTGTAGTAGGAGCAAGAGCTGCATAAGCCAATGTCTCCTCTAGTGCTGGCTCCTGTCCTATGTGGAGTGATACCAATTGTACTCCCACCTATTATCCCAGCTAGCGGTCTCCAGAGTGGTGCGAGTAGCAGGAAAGAAGAGATACACTGATGAGCTGCGGTTTGCGACACAGTAGTACAGCAATTAGAGCTTTCAATCTGTGCCTGGTGGTCTTTGATTCTCATGTTGTTCAGGTGATCTCCACCTGTTAAGGTAGCCTATACTGTAAGGCTTTATTTAGACGTGGTTGGGGGTAGGTGACAGAAATGCACGGTTGAGCCATGTTTATACTGCTGCCCAAGCACTCCTCACCCCCAAGCAAATGGGGAAGCACTGCAAACGCCCTACAACCACATGCAATACACATGGTTGTGCTGCAGTTGTCAGCAAAAATGGGGTTAAAACAGGTGGTGAGGAGACAATGCTTTCTCACTGCCTGTCAGTAGCCACTGGAGCATGAGCTGGATTGGCTTCAAAGGCGCATTTCTAAATCTACCCTTAAAGTACCTTTTCAGCTCCAGTTTGTATCTGTTGAACACAAATCCTAATAGGACTGTTTGCCACCTTAAACACGCTGTTAGGCTTCAACACTATTTGAAGCTTGTTAAAAGCCTGCTAGCAGCTTGTTTAAAGTGAAAACCAGCACTCTCATTAACATCTGTTTATAACAAGAGGAGCTGAAGGGAGATTTTAAAGGCTTAGAAAAAGATGCTGGAAGCGTGGCAAAAAGCTTTTTGAAAGTTTCATAAAAGGTTGCTGTTCACACTGCTCTTATAAAAGCTGAAGTCCAAAGGAAGCAGGCCTTTGCGTTATGGCAGTTTGCATTGTACAGTAGGGGCTCATTTACACCGGAAAGTCAGGTGTATTTTTAAATGCAGTACGACTGCATATGCAAGAAAAACAAATGTTTTCCCATGAGCCTAGTTTACAGCATTACTGTAAATGCTTTAAAAACACAAAAAAAAAATAAAGTACAGCATGCTGTATTTTTCAGCACCATAAACAGACATATTCAAACACGAGTAAATGCAACTTCAAGAAGATTTATTGAAATTTAAAATTATTTAAAAAAAAAACGCACTGCAAAAACGTTATCACACTGAGAATGCATGCACACCCTCATGGAGAAACACACAATGAACACAGATTATAGTGTAAATGAGCCATGAATCAGAAAGTTTGGAGCTCTGTTCATATAGGCACCCCATTCCTGACTCTAGACAGATTGTTTGCTGTGTTTGATTCAGAGTGGAAAGTGATGTCGTATACACAAAACCGCTATGACATTCTGACCACCCACCATTAGGGCCGCCGGTAGGGGGGTAGCACCGGCCCTCCAGAGGGGCCCCAAAAAGCAGGGAAAA